CCTCATGACGTTCATCAACCCCATTTTCTACAGTTGTATATGTATGATACTGAAAATGAGGTTGCTAATAGACTTCATTCTTTTCATGGTGATAATGAAGTACTTTTGTCTACAAATATTGTAGATTCATTAAGTCATATGTTAAACACACATAATAAGTATGTCCGTACATTTAAGATTGCGAAAGAAATAGCTCAGTCAATGAATTTAGATTCATATGGTGTACGGTTATTTAGTCATGTGCCTGACAGAAGATATGGGCCACCAACCCCTGGAAGTTTGGGTTGTATTGTTGGTGATGATGATGTTACTGGGGCTGTTTATGATATTGTTGTTTATTCAAAGTCTGGGTTACCTCGGCGAGTTAGTAAGCTTCATCCAACTTATATGCCTTTGCAGTATCCATTACTATTCCTATATGGAGAAGAAGGATGGTCTCCTGCCTTGCGTCTACGTATTAACTCTAATAGAAGCTTAACAAATAATATGTATTATAGTTATCAGATTCACGATCGACACAATTACTCTCTTATTTTACATGCACGTCGCCTTTTCCAACAATATTTGGTGGATGCCTATACTTGAATTGAACAATCTAGGCTTGACTTTATTGAACACCATCAGCATCAATTGCGTTTAGAGTACATCAGCGGTGTTTATGACGCTTTGTCCAAAGGCGATACGGACAGTCGTGTCATTGGTAAGCGTGTATTTCTACCTGCAACCTTCGTTGGGGGACCTAGATATATGTATAAACACTATCAAGACGCTCTAGCCATATGTAGGGTTCATGGTAAGCCACAATATTTCATCACTTTCACTTGCAATGTAAAATGGCCTGAGTATAGAAGATACATGGATGCTGTTGGTCAGCATGATATTCAAGACAAACCAGATTTCATTCCACACATCTTTAAGATCAAAGTTCATGCTTTCATTAACTTCCTTAAAGAAGACAAAACTTTTGGAGATGTTAATGCATGTACGTTTACACCTTCAACCACAATGGATCAACAAACCACCACAAATACCGAGTCCCTCACCCCTACTAAATCACATGAAACCGGAAGACGCCTCCAATTGGAACATACAGGTAAAAATAGCATTTAGCAGTATATTTATATCCAACACGGAACCAACATCTTTCCATTTCACAGATACTACACAGAAAACACCATGTCCCAAACGAATGAAATACAAAAAACACGGCGAAGCGAACGAAGGGACACATGCCAAAAGCAGTAAAACTGTTGATCTTTTCAGAACATACATAGACTTAAACTGTACTCTCTTTGCTGTATCATTTTTCGTCTAATCTGTAAATATTCAGTAAACTATGTCATCTTGGGACGAACATATACAAAACAGTTGTTGTCATCTTTTGTTGTATATATGAATTTGTGTGATATCAAATAATATTTACTTTTCAAATAATGTTATTAGTGTGTTTGTTGTTCATGAACTTTATTATATAACCATTATGGTCGGTGGAAGCAATTATCATATATTTAATTACAAAAAAAAATAATTGAATGCATTTGCCATTTACGGGAAGTGCCAAAAAAACAACTAACGTGACCTGTAGTTCCCCACGGGTTACTACACTAGTTAATATATAAAAGTTATGTTCGTAACATTATTCTAGCCGTTTGTATAATTGCCGTCGTTTTATTATTCTTGTCGTTGTATAATTCTAGCCCAAAACAAATCAATAAAAATTAATTACTGTAATGTGTTGCATTTATACTTCCTAGCCGTTAGCCAATTCTCATGACTAATTAGTTTGAAGAGTCAAACAAATATTAAAGCAAAGTCGAAGCAATTTGTCCCACATCGTTGGTGGCAAATAAGACAGGAAAGGTGGAAGCGGCAAAAAAGAAAGGAAAGGTGGAAGCACTATAAAATGGAAGGAACGATGAAGCTCCAAGAGGCAAGAGCATCGTGAAAACAAATATTCTATCCCCATATTAGACCATTTTTTTTCTTAAAATAATAGTTTATTTTTTATAACACATATTTTTTTTATCAAAATGTTCATGCCCTCCCTCCTTAAGATTGAGGATTCAAGTCTCGTCGTGAACATAGGTGGATTTAAGGTGTAGTTTAGGAGTATGTTAGATTTGTCGTTTCAAAAAATAAAAAATAAAAAAAACTAATCAAAATATTTAATGATGGAATTAAATACAAGAAAGAGTAAAACTATCATTTTATTGGATAAAGTTAATGATAAGGCCGGACAGAGCGGGTGCGGGGAAAGGAAGCGGGAAGCTTCCCGCCCGGCGGAACACCGCACCGTCGGCGCGGGAAAGGTGTGTGCGGGAAACGGAGAGGGGAGCCTCTCCCGCTCTCTCTCTCTCTTGCTGCGATTGGCCGACATTTTTATTTTTTTTTTATTTTTTTTTGAAGAAACTATCGTTGAATAACGGTAAAAAATGTTTTTTTTTTTTTTTTTTTTTTTGTGGCTGTAACGGCTACTTTTCTTTTTTATTTTATCCTTTTACCACTACTATAAATATATACATATAACTTAAAAAAATCACACTATTCTCTATTCTCTCTACTTTATATCAACAAAAAAAAATGAATCCCGACAAGCAAACCCCAAGTTCCGATCGACGGAAAAAAAGCCATGGTTCGAGTATAAACATCCCTCCTCGCAACATTTTTGCTATCGATTCATCCCCGCAAGGAGTTTACCGCCCCCAACTCGATGCTCCCATTCAATCCCCACTACAATTCCAATACCAAAATGTTGGCCAATATTACTCGATGCAAGTTCCAAATGTTCCGTCGCAAATGTTTTCAAACTTTGTTGTGTTTCCGGATCAACAATCGCCAAATCAAACTCAACCCCAAACTCAAACTGAAACTCAAACCCAAACCCAACACCACCACCAACTTGTCGATGAATCGGATGACGCGGAAGAAGAAGACATGGTTCCCGAAACTCAACCAACACCACCACCACAAAGACGTAAAGGGAAAAAACAAGTGCGCGGGGGTGTCGCACAACCGGGAAGACAAAAGCCGACAACATGGGTTCCACACGAAGAGCTAGTTTTGGTCAAAGCTTGGGTTGATATTTCCGAAGATTCGATTCAGGGAAACGCACAACCGGGAGAACATTTTTGGTTTCGCATTTTAGAACGATTTCGAGAGGAGCTAGGAAAATGTGATGACTACCGTACGAAACATCAACTTAACTCGAAGTTTCGAGAAATAGCAAAGGGGGTTTCAGAAATTAACGGGTTGTACAACAACCTAAAAACCCAACGAAAAAGCGGCCAAGACGACGAAGAAATACTTCAAGAAGCGTTGCAGTTTTACCTTGAGGAAGTCGGAAAACCATTCAAGTGGCACGATTGTTGGAAATTATTGGTCCGAAGTCCTAGGTGGAAAAAATACGAGCGGGATTTTATTTTTGGAGTCCAACAATCAAAGTGAACGAAAACGGGGTCTAGTGGTTACACAACCTCCTCCGATGCTCGGGTCGGTCTAGATTTAAATCAGGACGACGAACTCGAGCTAGAAGAAATTGAATGCCCAATGGGTAGGGACAAAGCGAAGAGAAAGGGAAAAGGGACTTCTTCGAGTGCATCTGATTTCAGCGTGGACATTGACGAAATGCGGAAGATAACATCGTCGTTTGATCGATATAATCTAAATTTCTCCGAACGTTTGACTTTCGACAAAGAAAAAGAAGAAACAAGAAAAAAGGAGCGGGCGGAGAGACAAGAAATGGAAGACATGAAGTTTTTGATGGAAAACGTCGATCATCTCTCGGGACCGGCTCTCGAGCTCGTAATGAAGAAGAGGGAAAAAATTCTGAAAAAATATTTTCTGTAGGTCGTTGGTGGTTTGTTTGATTTTTAGTTTATGTGTGTTTTTTTTTTTATTTTTCTACTTTTTTATATGTTAGGTTTAATGTAAGTTTTATTTTAATTAATGAAATGCTTTTTATTTTTAATTAAGTTTTATGTTTAGTATTAATTTAAAATTTATAATTCATAACAAAAGAATTAATTTTATTTAAAAAAAAAAAAAAAAAGGCGAGGGAAGGACTTCCCACCCACTCCTTGGCTTTTAGGTGAGGGAAAAGAGAGTGAGGGAAAGGAGAGTGAGGGAAAGAGGGGTATGACCCACCAAAAGTGAGGGAAACTTCCCTCCCACTCCTTCCAGTCTAATTAATGTTTTCTTAATCTGTAGGTTTTTTTATCTGTGGACAATAATTTTGAGAATGAATGAGTATATTCTTAGAGACTTTATGAATAATTGGGCTACCAAGTTATTTTGGACTTGTCGGACTCATCTGGATTGGATCCGGTCTAAAAAAGACGGGTTTATTTTTAGACCTGTTTGGGATCGGTTCTGGACTGCCATGTGTAACATTTTGAAGGACCGAGTAGGACTTTTGTCCGGATTGAATGGTCTAAGACTGGTCTACGACCAATTTAGTTCATATACATATTTTTAGGATCAGTTTGGACCCCACCTCTAACATAGTCCAAACTCCAAAAAAATTTGGACAAAATAAGCAATGACAATTTTCAGCTATACACAATGATCACTTTTACAGTTTAGTCTTTTGATAATATTGTTTCCCGTTCATTTACTTGGTGTAATGATAGACATTGGCGGAGCTTTATTAGGGCTGGGGGGCTGCGCCCCCAACCCCCCCCCCCCCCTCCCGAATTTTTGGTTATAAATAGTCCTTTTAGTTTCATTTTATACATTTTAGGCCCAAAACTATAAAATTTTGGCTGTGGCCCCCCTGCTTACCAATTTTTATACATATTATATTTCCGCCCCCGAATCAATCGTTGAAGCTCCGCCCCTAATGATAGACATAAGTCTCATCTTAAGTGGGTTGATTGGATTCAAAACCCGGTTAACATTATTATGTAACTTGTTTTGTGTAGCTCTTTGGTAGCATCTTTTTAATTTATTTCTACCGTTCGAAAAAAAAAAGTGTAAAACAAACATATATGTTTGTTTTTTCTTCATTCAACCTGAAAAGTAGAAGTCCCTTTTACAAAAGTTGTTTTCTAATGATGCCAAAAGACAAAGAAGCATATAATATAAGAATTCAACCTTTTTAGCAAATACATGATTGAATAAAGAGCAATAAATAATTTTTACTGCATGTTATACAAATTATAAGAACATAATTAAAACCATGAGGGACCGAGGGTATATAAAGTGGTTTGATGTTTTAAAAGTCGAAAATCAATAGCAAAATTTCATGTCTACTCTAAGCAAAATTGTACGATTCCAAATGCATAATGTACTGTTTTATATTGCACAAAGTACAAGTAATTATATCATTACTACTCTCGGTTATACCAAATCTACTCTCGACTGAGGTTCAACTACTTAGAAACACTAAAATAGAAGCATGTAGATATTGCGAGATATGAAACCAAAACAAAGGCTACATCTTTTTCCAAAGCAAAAAAGGTACAACTTTGTAATGAATAATGTACAAGTTATTTCAGCACTATTTTGCAATTTCCGCTCCAAAGAAAATACTATAAACCAACGTTTGCTTTTGAAAACTACAACCATATAACGAAATCTTTAATGAACTTTGCTTCTAATTCATATGATCATGCTAACATAATGAAATCAAAAAACAACTCAAAAAACTTGAAATTATATCCGATTTCTTCGTTTTTCATCAGGTTTTTTTATCTTAATCTAAATGTGGAAGGAATTGAGTTGATTCCTAACCACAAATAACACAAGATTGGATTTTTTTTTTCCTGTTTTTATTGTATACTTACAATGCTATTTGTGGATGAATTGCAGAAAACACAATGACTTGATAAAATCTTTCCCAAAATGCTTCCTTCTTCAACACGAAGGTTTCTACTCTGCTTATTCCAAAGATGAACAGCATAACTCTGGCTTCGAATCTGCCTAAGTTTACACCTCAACCATTTTGCATCCGTCTCATTTTTAGCCCCACGAAAAAGATTCCGAACCCTGTTCCAGTTCACTGGATAAAAAGCTGATGGGGGTAGAATCGTAAAATTATATCCAGGCCTACCTTCAAGCCTTGAAACTACACGTGAAACCAAGTAAGGACCATTGTGACCCCATTTGTTTCCATTGAAAGTTAATGCGAACTCTTCGATAAACTTGTAAACCAATGGATGCATTTTATCGAACACCATGACTGCATTATTCAACCTGCTCCAGTTCTTTGAACCCAAATCCAATGTTTGAGCTCCGATTGAATTCTTTAACTTCGAGAAGCTTTTCAAAATCATAACATCGGTATCCATATAAACCCCACCGAATTTATATAACAAACAAAGCCGAAGCAAGTTCGATAAGTTTTGACCAAATGGAATGAACCCAGCATCAACATCACCTCTAGTTAACTTAAAAAACCATGATTCTGCCATTGTGTTCTTGAACAAGTAGTGTAAATCAGGCGAAATTGCTGTTACTCGAAACCCTTTTTCCAAAAATGGTTTTAGAATCTGGCGTCCTCTATTCGAATCCATGGAGTTTGAAAGGATTAGCAGACACCCATTTGGGTGTGTGTTGAATACAGTTTCGATTGAGTGGACTTCTTTTTCACCAAAAGAATTCAATGGCGAAATCCACGTCATAAAGAAACGAACCTTGCAAGAAGTCTCATTCTTGCTAAAGAATTCCTTCACTCTCGCCCGGAAATACCCTCGCCGGAACCGGTCAGAAGGCTCCATGAAAGTCAAACCCTCCAAAAGTTTCTTCTTTTTGACCGGGAAATCTTCGGTTTCGAAAGGTAAACTGTGAGATTTTCGCAGAAGGGGTAAATGGGTATTTGAGATTACAGATGGCGTTTCTTCTTTCACCAAGGATATACTCTGCTGCTGATGTTGTTCTACATCGTGCATTGAGTAAGGTACAGGGTTAAAGCTTGTATAATCTCCGCCGCCGGCCACCGTATTTCGCTGTAACTTGAAATGGGTTTTCGAGATTACAGATGGGTTTTCTTCTTCAAGCGCATACATCAAATTCGACAAAGATGACGACACAGACACCAAGTTTCTTGAATCTCCGGCGATATTTTCCTGGTAAGGTATCATTATGGAGAAGATAGAAGCTCCATTGAAAGCAATTAACAGAAGCAGGAGAAGAGATAAAACAGCAACGAAAGATCTCTTCTTATTCTCCATTGACTAGTTCTCTGAAACCATAATCTTTTCTTTTGCTTCATGGTATTGTGTTTACGGAATATGGAAGATGAGCGTAGATGAGCATGGTTGAATTTGATGGCGGCAAACGTCAGAAGATGAAGTGTGTGTTTTGGTGTTGTATGTGTGTTTTGAAGTGTTTGGAACCAAAATTGTGTTGGTTTGATCAAGAAAAGTGGAGGGATTTCATTGAAGACAGGTTTGTACTTTAGCGGAAGAGAGAGAAGATCGATTGGATATTTTTAAGTCGTGTTGATCTATGGAAAGGGGCCACAGCCCACATGCATAGTTAGGTGAGGTGCAATAAACAACTTTCCCTTCGAACCTTTATTATCTTTCATTATTTTTTCTCTTATTCTTATATTAATATTAGTTGTGAGAGCAATTATTAAATGGGTTAGTTTAAAAAATATATATATAAAGATCTAAATATTTAATAATTTTGAATTTATAAAAAAATAAGAAAAAAATAATAAATTATTATAATAAAAATGTTTTTTATTTTTTAAATTTAAATAAATAAACAAAAAAACTAATAAGTTTTAATTTTGGGATTTTTGAAATTAAAAGTTAAGTTTCATTAATGAAATTGATATTGTAATGCTCGGTTCTCGGTATGTATTTGTTTAAAATTAAATTTTGCATTTTTGCTCTGGGACTCGACGAGTTGAATCCAACTCGTCGAGTAGATGTGAGTTTTGGGATGCGGGTGAAAGAGTCTACTCGCCGAGTCGGAAGCCCCGACTCGACGAGTAAACCTGTCTGGATGAAACCTTAAATCTGAGGTTTTCACCCTATTTAAACACCTTAAGTGGCCTCCACCCCAGTCTCCATCATCCTCAGACCCCATTCTCGAAACCCTAATCAGTTGTGAGTGTTCTTGAGCTATTTTGGTGCCATTTTTTGTGATTTGAAGTTTGGAAAAGGAAGGAAAGGCTTGGAGGTTCAAGAAGAAGGCAGTAGATCCAGAGTCTTGGTTGCATTTCCAGCTTGTTAGAGGTAAAAAGCTTCAACCTTGACTTCCCATTTGTTAGATCTTCTTTAGGGCTTAAATCTTGTCATTTTTTGGGCATTTCTAAGTCACTTTCGGGTTTAGAGTGTATTGTAGAGTGATGACTTCAGATCTTGAACATTGGAGGGTTCTCATGGCATAAAGGTGCCAACTTTATGGTCATGGGAGCCCCATGCACCTTGTAGACTTCATTTTTTAGTCTTTTGAGCTTGAAGACCCATGCATGGACGTAAAGTTCGTGACTTTACGTGTTATATCGACCCTAGGAGGTCAGATCTACCCTTTGGATGTAATGAGCTCAACAGAAATCGATTGCTTGGTCATGGACTTTGGGGGACTCGTCGAGTTGTCCATGGAACTCGGCGAGTCGGGTATTGGTTCCCCAACCTTTTCGGTTTCTGAGGAATCTGGTTGAGTCTAGAAGGGGACTCAACAAGATGAACGTGAATATGGACTTAAAGATCAAAGGACTCGACGAGTTCAAGGATGAACTCGGAGAGTTCAAGGTAATGTCCCAACTGATATGAAGATGAACTCGACGAGTTCAAATGGAAAGTGTCGATTCTGCCATAAGGAGAAACTCGGCGAGTTGGAGGGCAACTCGACGAGTCAGATCACGAAGTTGAGAATCTCTGAGTCACGAAACTCGACGAGTTGGTGGACCAACTCGGCGAGTTGAGTCAACCAGAAGTTGACTTTGACTATGATGTTAACCTTGACCATTGACCTGAGTTGACCCTTGATTAGGGTTAGGAGTATGTAATGGTAATTAAGGAAGGTTTTTATGTGTAGGAGTTTGAGGAGTTGAGAAGAGTTGATCCCGACATCGAGGACAGTTTAAACATTTCCCGACATTGAGGTGAGTTACCTTCCAGTAGCGGTGGGTCTACGGCCACAATGTCGGCCCACTAGTAGGAGTTGTTAGATGATTTTCTTTGTGATAATTATCTAGGTTTTCCACTATCTGTTATGTTTTATGTGCTAGTATGGTATGATATTATGTGATGGTGGTAGTAGGGGGAATAGTCCCCATATCCGGTCAAAGGACCAAATGGGTAGGTCGGGCACCCCGGTATGCCTTACAGTACGATTATATTATGCTATGTTATGTTATCGTGTAGTAGTAGGGGGTGAAATAGTCCTCGAAATCGGTTGAGATAAACCGGAAGGGGTAGGTCAGACACCCAGTTATGTCTGACAATGTGTAGGTTGAGCACCCCGGTATGCTTAAGAGGGGTAGGTCGGGCACCCCAGTATGCCTGACAGTATGTTTGTTGCATGGTATGTGGTATGATGGGGGAAATCACTAAGCTTCGTGCTTACAGTTTTTAGTTTTGTTTCACGTACCTCTTCATCGAAGGAGAAGGAGCCGGCACGGTAGCAGCGCATCGCACACATATGATTTCCGTATTTTGAGATCCATGGGATTGTACTTTGACATTATTACTATTTTGAGGATATGGTTGAGACATGTGACTATGGTTTTATGAATAGAAGTAGCTCAATGATGTTTTCTTATAAATTGTTTTTATAAATCGTTATGTTAAACAAATGAAACTTTTGGTCTTGAAAATTGGGATGTTACAAGTTGGTATCATAGCCTTGGTTTGAGGGATTCGGACGCACCTTCGGGGGTTTATGGACTTAAATCGAGGGTTTGAAAGATTTTTACAAGAAAATAGTTTTCTAAAAGTTAAAGTAAAATGTTTTGAGAAAGAACAAGATGTGCGATGCGTGCGACCGGCCGAGCTCAAGTAAGTTCTTCCCCAAGATACCCATACATTTTATGTTATGAATATGAGAACTGCATGCTAGATTAGGGCTAAGGATCTAGGAAGGATGGATTATATGCTTGTTGTATGTGTATGATAACTGCATGCTAGAATAGGGCTAAGGATCTAGGAAGGATGCCTTATATGCCTGTTGTATGTGTATGAGAAATGCATGCTAGAATAAGGCTAAGGATCTAGGAAGGATGCCTTATGTGCCTGTTGTATGTGCTTATGCTAGAACTGATTAGTCAGTCATATGATAGCCTGGATAGGATATGCTTGATTTGGGTTACTTAATCCCCGAATGCTGCTTGCTTCGTGCTTTTCGGAGTCCTAGTTATCTTTGGTTAACTAGTAAACGAATATGTTAAGTTACATATTAGGAAGACTAAATAATTTTAGAAGGTTAGGTCTAGCCCTACTTCGCAACTCTTGTTTGAGTCCAACCGTTGTAGGGTAGGGCCCCTCATTCGAAGAATTATCTGGTCTGAGTAATATTTAATGGTATTCGCAAGCCAGTTAGGTAAAGGTAGCAGGGATTTCTTATGCAGCTGATGGTGGAGAGTGGGTTGGAGGAGTTACCCTAAGGTAAGCCTAGGATGAGATCGGTACAAAGTGCAGCAGTAGTATAAGGGACTTGGTGAAGTCGAAGCAATCCTTGAAGAAAGTACGGATAGATGTGGAAGGTAGTATGGGCCCGTACTACTGAAAGAAAAGGATTTGTACTCGAATCAAGGAGGGCCGAGATAGAACCAGGGAATAGGTAGAGTGTGTTAGACATCTCGAGATTATATATAACCCTGACATTTATGTATTTTGTTTCAAAATGGTGGTAATTACGCGTCACGGAGCAGGAGGATCGAGATCATGGTCAGGATCAGGTTCGGATTCGGGATCCAAGCCAGTGGATGAGGGACTACGCGAGTTCATCGCGTCTGAGGTCACGAGAGGCATCCTTGAGTCGAACCCAGTGATTTTCGGGTCGATCAAGGAAGGGATTATCGAGCTGATGGAGGATCGCCTCAGGGCGTTTAGGAGTGACTGGGCGTCTAGCCAGTCAGGGGCGCGCACACTGTCCTTTAAGGACTTCAGGGGATGCGGTGCGCCAGACTTCCACGGGGTGAAGGATCTCATTGTTTCCAGGAGATGGATTATAGACATGGAGTCTGCCCAGTTGACGAGCTTATGCCCTGAGGGGTCGAAGGTCTGGTACGCTGTAGGTTGTTTGAGGGACATGGCTAGAGATTGGTGGGAGTCGGTTGGTGATTCTTTAGGAGCCTCAGCTATTGAGGCTATTGATGTGCACAAAAGTACCTACTAGTTTTAAATTTATAACCTAACTAACTTAACTAACTAATATGCACCAATGCAGTGTACCTAGTCGGATTGTAGTGTAGTTTAATTAAGTTGGGGTCGAACACAGGGAACGGATTTAATTAGCTAAAATAATTACTTAAAATTAATCTAAAATCAAACAATAACTAAAAAGATTTTTATCTAATTTTGCAAGTCTAGATAAACTTAATTACTAAACAAAGGTTCAATCAATTACTAAAAATACTCTCGTTTAGTTCGAATCCACTTCTTCTTTATGGTTAGCTATAAATTATGGATTATCAAAGTTGGTTACCTAATATTATATTATTAGTAATTTAAGTCCAAATTTACTAATATTTAACTAATTCATGTAAAACTATGCATTGTTACACACAATCAAACACAGAATCAGTTATGGATTATGAATAGGCTATGTAAGATTTATTATGCAAACATAATTATGGTCATAATTTATGTTCTCCAGCACAGCTAAATTCAACTACTTCAATCAGTTATCTAAGATTGGGTCAATCCTAGCTCTAGCAATTCAATATTCACTAAATCACTAGGTGTCAAGTTCATGTAATTTAATAATCACTAAGCTACACAGAACATGAATCCAAGCAACTAAACAACCAAATATTAGTATGCTAGGTATTAACAATCAAACACAAGCACAATACCAACAAGTCAAATCCATAATTAGTTAAACTAATCCATAAGTTGAAGTTTCATCTAGCTAAACAGGAGTAGCTAAATTCAGCTACTCATAGTAGAAATCAAACACAAAAACTCAATAGAGATAAATCTAAAACATGATTAAACCGAATAAATTGATGTTTTCGTCTAGATCTCTTCAAATCTTGAGCTCCAATTGTTTC